TTGATTTCTTCACCATACCCTAAAACAATCCTTCTTGTTGAACAAATAGGGTTCGCCCCCACCCCATGTGAGTAAAAAAATTGGAACAAATACCCACCCCACTCACCCTCCATGGGAGTGGTATGTAAACAGACTTATTGACCTAAAAATACACTTTGAAGGATCTTGGTGTAGCACATACAAGAACAAGGCTATAGAGACATAGAACCTTTGACATACAGGGTGATCGACACTCACAACACAGGGGGGCCACATTTTTTTTTTTTAATTTTTAATTCAGACGGGGCTCGCAGCATGTGAGAGGCTGTCACTGCTTCTGTTAAAGGTTTTCTATCACGGGGGATTAGACAAGGACCCTAAGCCTAGAGCATTCTGCAAGTTTACAACTCCAAACTAATTCAAATATTATTATAGTCAACAAAAGTAGTTGACTCCTATTAATGAGACAAGTTGTTATACTATTCTATAAAGTTATTTTTATTTATTCATTTTTGTGTCACATGATTTTGGTTGTGCTGTATATGTGATAGTTCTATGACTTAATATTCCTCAATTTTTGTTGTAAAGATTAAATTCCAACTTGCAGAATTTTAAATCATTGTCTTTTCTACGAACTTTGATTCTCTTGTTCGGTTTCAGTTAACATCTTCCAATGATTAAAGTTCTGAAAAGCACTAGATTTGGACTTCAATAGGAAAGTTCACATCTTTCTAGAAATTTTTTTTTACTATTAATAAGTATAATATGAACCCACTAAAAATACTAACAATTACTGGTCCCCAAAAGTTAACATTATCCTCTTATTAGAGAAGTTGAAGTCCCCTATATAACCCATCCTCTTATGCCACGTAAGTGACTTTTCACTTTCCGAGTCTCCCCGACCAGGCTCATGTGAATGTACAATTAGAATCAAGTATCCACTCATTTGTACTTCTCCTGGTTGAGACAACTAAAACCGCCTCCAATTTATTTGCAATTGTTGTTTCAAGTCACGACAGTAGCTCCATCTATATTTGACTTATCTCTCAATTTCATGATAGTTACCAAACCTCATCTCATTCTATAATGTTTTGATTATTATTTTAAAATCAAATATGAGAAGGTTAATCCCCACTCTACCCTAAACCACTACAAACGTAATTTCATCTTGATTTTTTTAGGTTTAGTGTTTTTCAGTAATTTATGGGAAAATTAGAGGTGAGCTCCCCAATCTTTTTGTGAAGTGTAGAATCAATTCTCCAATCTTTGAAACCGAGGTTTTGACTACCCAATACATTCAATCTTGTGAGATTGGATCCCCATACTATGCAATTTGTTATTTTAACTGTTAATTTTCTATTAAAATGACTTATGCCCTTACTATAAACTAAACATGGAAGGAGTAAAAATACAAAAAATAGAAAAATAAAAAATCTGTTAAGTAAACCCAAAAAAAAAAAAAAATCATCTTAATTTTTAGTTTTCTTCTTCTTCTTCTTCTCCTTCTCCTTCTTATTACTATTGTTTATAGTAAGGACATAATAGTCATTCTATAGAAAATTTGAATTTTTAACAATTAAAGTAAAAAAATTCGTCAAGTGGGATCCAATCTTACAGTATTAAATTGCTAGGGGAAATCAAACAAAAGCTTACTAAGCCCCTGTTTGGCACCCATTTCTTGGAAAGAAAAATGGTCGAAATAGTGTTTTTTTGAAAAACAGATGGTTGAAAATGAAAGAAAGGTTTTCGATTTACGTGTAATATTATTATATGAAAAATTGTGCGATTGAAAATAGGAGAGAGAAAAATGGAATGAAATTTAATAAGAGCCAAACGAGGCTTAAAACTTCATTAACCAAATGTTTCAATCATAACCAAAAATGGAAAACACACACTACATATACACTTTTTGTGTACATAATCGTTTACACCCCCCTTACATGGAGGGGGCTCGCATATAATTTATTATGCATATATCCCCTTTTCATATGAGAGTGGAAAGAATTATGTACACAATAAATGTACAAATAGACTTATTCAAAACACAAAGGGACTGAGAAGCAATGATATTTGTAATTCGTGCTTGCCCATCAACATCAATAGGACAATCAAGAAATTGTCCGCTCCTCTCAAAATTTGAAATACATTTTAATTTATTGAAAAATGTGATGGTAACTCACTGTCACATAAATTACTGATGAATAAACACTGCATTAAAATAACATTATTCGAGGCTGAAACTATTAACAACCAATTGTTTCTCCATTGTAGACAAAGCCTTTTGTTTTCGACATTTTTTGACAATTGGAGTTAACCAGTTGATGCAATTCCATGCAATATGAAGTTTGACATGCCTAATCGGAGTGTCCTAGCAACAGAAGTATGTGATAAAATTGATTATACATTCTACCAAGTGTAGATTTACAACTATGTTATTAGAGTCGATTTTCAACAATCTCCGATCTAATATACAAAATATGTGTCAGATTTTGTGTCTCAAATTAGGGTGAATTTTTTGGAAAATATTGTTTCTTTATTTTCACTTGATTTTATTGAAAAATATTGTTTCCTTATTTTCATGTGATTTTATAGGGAAAATATTATTTCCTTTATTCCACATTATTTTTATATTATTTACATCTTTATGATATTTTTAGGATTTGTTATGTCCCTATAAATATTATAAATATGTGGCTCTTCATTCAATTTAAGTGAAATTTTATTACTAAATTCTTGTATTCTCTCCACATATTATCTTTAATACAACATCAATTCCTTTGCTATCTCTCTTCAATTTCTTTAGCTTTAATATTTTTTTCTTCGTTACGATTATACATATTTCATATTGTTCATTAATCTCAATTCTTGCATTGCTTTCGGATCCAATAAGTGGTATCAGAGCTAGGCTGCAAGTTCTTCGTGATTTGATTGTGATTTTTCAGAGATGGCTACATTAAAATATAATATTCCGCTATTGGATCACAATACGAGATTTTAGTTGTAGCAAGTAAAGATGAGGGCTATGTTGGCACAGACGAATTTAGACGATGCTTTACTGGGTTGTCAACAAATTGGACAATGGAGAAACAACGGAGAGATGAGAAAGCTCTATTGCAGTTTCATTTTCACATTTCCAATAACATTCTGCATGACGTATTGAAGAAGAAAATGGCGACTGCTTTGTGGTTGAAATTAGAGCAGTTGTGCATGACCAAAAGTTTTACGAGCAAATTGCATCTAAAGCAGCGGTTGTATTCCCATTGCATGGCAGAGGGAGGATTGCTGGAAGATCATCTGGCTGTGTTCAAGGAAATCGTCATGGAGTTCGAATATGATGAAGAGAATCTAGCCTTAATCACGTTGTGCTTGCTGCCCACCTCGTATTCATCGTTTCGGGATACGATTTTGTACGGTCATGATACACTCACCATCGAAGATGTTTTAAAGCTTTATTCTCAATGGAGAAGATGAAGCATTTGATTGGAGTTGCATCTAAAGATGAAGAAGCTTTGGTGTCTCATGGCGATCGACAGAGGGGTAGGTCGAGGGTAAACTTCAGCAATTTGTATTGCTTCTACTACAGGAGAAAATGACATTTTAAGAAGGGTTGTGATAAGTTGCAAGCTAAAGGTAACTTAGCTACAAATCATGGGAAGCAATCATGTAATTCAGACGAGACCAATATTGCCAAGGACTTTTCAGATGGCCGAGATATGGTATTGACCGTTTCTGACATAATCTCAAAGCTTGACGAGGAGTGAATTTTGGATTCAACATGTACGTTCATATGTGTCCCAATCGGGACTTGTTTGATGCATATGAATACTTGGGCATGTTCGACATGTTCCAGATTTGGAGAAGAATTTCATCTCGCTGAGTACTCTAGATTCAAAGGGGTTTAAGTTCTTAGTTAGAGGAAGAGTGTTGAAGTCCGAAAGGGTGTCTAGGTTGTATTGGAGGGACTAAAAAGATCTCAATTGTAAATCTTGCAGAGGCACGTAGAATCAACTAGGAGACATCTGGACAAGTTTGTATCGTAGTGAAAATTCAATTTGGTATAATACCTCTTGTGACGGACTCTAAGTCGGTTCAGAACACTGCTAGAGAAAGCGTTGGTGATTCCGCTTTGCCATCAATTTCAGGGGATAAACTGTGCTCAAATGCTAGGGTTGGATCCATTTAGCGTAGGTACGGTGTTGGAAATGTCTGTAATATTTTCAGGATCTTTGAAGGTGACAATTTTAGCAAGAAGCCTTCCGATCAGACATTTTGTGTGGATTCTGCTATAGGGAATACTTCGACCCTATTTGGCCAATGTTAATTCGTTGTTAGAATTTTGGGAACCTGGAATTAGGGTTCGAGTATCGCTTGTGGATACCGGGCAGAGGATAATGTTTTTCATGAGATAGAAAGTTTTGGTTACTGTTTGAGGAACTTAGTTATTTCGATGCAATTGGACATTTTTTTAGACGAAATTTTTTTGGAACTTTGTTCATCACATCAGGATTTGGGTCAAGGTGGATAATATTAGATTTTGTGCCCCAAATTAAAATGGATTTTTTTGGAAAATATTAATTCCTTATTTTCATATGATTTTTTCAAATATTGTTTCCTTATTTTCACATGATTTTATTGAAAAATATTATTTCCTTATTTCATATTATTTTTATGTTATTTCCACTTTTATGATATTTTTAAGATTTGTTATGTTCTTCTAAATATGTGACTCTTCATTCAGCTTAGATGAAGCTTTATTGCTGAATACTTGTAATCTCTCCATATATTATCTTTAATAAAACATTGATTCCTCTACTAATCTCTCTTTAATTTTTTTTTACTTGAATCTTGTTTCTTTCGTTGTGATCATACATATTTTATATTGTTCATTAATCTCAATTTTTGCATCGTCTTTGGGTCCAACAATATGTCGTTACCATAGTGGTCTCCTACATATTTTTTAACAAAGAATCGAGCAAAATTGAGTTCTTAATGATCTCAAAGACGAGCAATATTGATCAGAATGGACAACAAATAATAAATATCATTCAAATATATAAGTAATCTCATCATCACAACACAACAGAAGTCAAAAGACAGAGTTACAAGGCTGGAGAGAATGATCGATTCTCGCTGCCATTCACCGATCAGGTTGTAGGAAAAATAACAGCATCAAAACCATATCGCTACATACACCATTTATCGAAGTAATTAATATGCGCATACAAAGGGACGGGGAAAACTTGTCATGTTAGAGATCCATCAGCATAAGTTCACTTTGCCCGCAGTGATTATGGATTACAATGTCAACATTTGCTAAGCAACACAGCCTCCACAGACTATACCCCTGCTGTACAAAGAAATTGAAACTAAACCTTAGAAAGATTGATACGTTTGAAGGTAATTGCACAAGTATGAAAATTGAAGTAAATATGAAAAAAAAAAAAAAGAAAAAAAAAAGGGTTGTTACTAAAGAAAAATTGTTTATTTTATTTTTCTCTCGTGCTGTAAGGTTAACAATAACAACGGTTAGGCAAGAGCTAGGTTAATATAAAATGTCTACTTCAGCGGGAAAAGTTAACGTTAACTAGAAAAGATGTTGTCAACCATACGTGAATCACTGGGGGGGGGGGGGGGGGGGGGGAGGGGAATAGACAGAGATCACAAATATAAGTTCCCATTCAGGGGATTTCAGGAAATAATTTTAATCTAGGATGGCCCTTTTTTTAATAATTGAAAATATAAATAAATTGTAAAAGGATCACACACGTGTCAATATCCAAGTGCAACATGTTAAGTTAGATTATACAACTTCGAAATGCAGTCAAAATTTAAGCAAACACAGTGACAACAAACATTTTGTAAGTTATTTTTCTTGGATAATTATGCCCTTAATTTATCTCCTGATACTATTCATGAGTCACTTGATACTAATTCAAGCGCTATGCTGTCAAGCAAACCATGGGACAATTTAGGATTAGTGAGAGTAGGAGCAAATTTTGGTAATTCACATTCATAATTTTCTATGATTTTTCTGCAATGTATCAAAAACAAGTAAAAACTCATAAAGAATGCAAATAGATTAGCAGCACTCACACAATTGAGCAACCAGTGCTCCTATGTCTCTTCTTTCTTGGAATTTCCTTTCTTCTAGGAGGTTGAATCACAACCTTTATTGCAGTATCGAAAACAGCTTTCACATTCTGGCAACAACTTGAGTAAATTAGTTCTTGCTACGATAAAATCTTGTCAACATATGATTTTCCAAAAAATATCCTGAATGAACATTTCCATGTAGAATCATCAAGTCACACATAACTCACCTGCTGAGTCTTCGAGCTGCATTCTATATAAGCTGCTGCACCGATTTGTTTCCTCAGCTCCTCCCCCTATATATCGAATCCAGATTAGCTGATATATCAAATTCGATTACTTGATACGGACAGGGAAAAAAATCAAAAAAGAATTCTCACCTGGGCCGTTGTAATGACGTTAGATCCCATATGATCCACTAGATATCCCCTGTCTTCACGGAGATCTGTAGTTGAAAAGAGGATAAAAAGTTCCGTAAGTTATGCATCAGGGAAATATCCAACTACTGGAAACCCAAACAAGCATTATTTAGATTGTAATTGAAACAGTTCATAGCATACCTAACTTCGTTCCAACAAGCACAACTGGAACATTAGGCGCAAAGCGACGAAGTTCAGGCATCCACTGAAATGAAAATCAAATAGAATGTCATATATAATTATTAGGCCAACTGTTAAGAAATGCGGCTTGATACATAGTACTGGACAACATAAAAAGAAGATTGTTTGAAATTTTGTAAATTGTGCAGTTAAGTTTTGTCGAATACTTTGTGGCAGACATGCTCTAAAGGCTAAAAGAACAATCGTTAGGATTATAATAAATGAAAGTATCCCACCTTCTTGAGGACATTTTCATAGCTGGCCCTACTGATTAAAGAGAAAGCCAAAACAAATATGTCAGCACCTCTGTAACTCAGTGGCCTTAACCTGCTATAATCTTCCTGACCTTCAAATCACACAGATCAAGAGAGTTAGGATATAATGAAGGCCTCTCAACGAACCCTAAGTTGAGAACTATACATATAAGATAATACCTGCAGTATCCCATAGTCCTAAGTTGACAATACTGCCATCTACAGCCACATTAGCACTAAAATTGTCAAACACTGTTGGAATATAATCCTGCCACACATAGAGACAAGAATGATAACGAAAGAGAGCAAAGGTAAAATAGATTAAAAAACTGATTAAGCCCTAATCCCTTCTTACAAAAGCATTATTCAACACAATGAAAATTGAAAACAAGCAAAGCGTATACATAGATTTACCTATCAAGAACACCCAATTTTCAGAAAATACATAAAAAGACAAAAACCAACGAAAATTTTGAAGAATACAAAACCGATTGTTGCAAAAACAACCCACAAAATTATGAGCTGATTATCTTGAGAAATTAGGATAAGAACAAACAAAAATGGGTGCCTGGGCCTGGGAAAATTGAGAGACGAAATGGGAAAAATAAGATATTTGAACTCTGAAACTCACAGTTGGGAACTTGTTACTGGTGTAACAAATGAGCATGCAAGTTTTGCCCACAGCTCCATCTCCTACAGTCACACATTTAATGAACTTTGAAGCACTCATTTTCTTGATATTTCAGCTTCTACAGAAACCCTTATGCTAAAGTTCACAAAAGTTTTCTTGGTTTCAAGCAGAAAAAGGGGTTCAAGAAAAGTTGAAAAGAAAGAAGAAAGGGAAAAAGAGGAGGTGAAGAAGAAGGGTATCAAAAAATGGGGAAGGAAACAACAAGAAAGAGTAAAATATAGATAATGAGAGAGTTTCAAGAATTACTAGAAAACAAAACTACAGACAAGGTTTCTGTATGGGCGTGAGAGAGAGAGAGTTAAACACGACCACTTTTCATCCCTCTCAATAAATTTCAAATCAACAGAATTTTCTTTTGAAATGCAGAAAGTCTTATTTCTCAAACGGCTCGAGTATGGGACCCGACTCTCAAACGGCTCCAATCCACTTTTTATAGCTGGGATCCATTTGGCACATTATTCGGTAAGTTAATTTCATCCATGATCACCGCACTTTTCACATAGTGTCACTATGGCCAATGAACTTTAATTTATTTTATCGTGGCCATCAAACTTTTCACTTAGTATCACTATGGCCACTAAACTTTAATTTATTTCACCATGGCCATTAAACTTTTACTTGATATCACCATGGCCACCGAACTTTAATTTATTTCTTATAAAGTTCAAGTAGATAGTATTGGGGCCCTAACCTTTGAACCTTTGAACGATGGGTCTCAAGCTTTTGATTTGTAACCCTTGAAGTACCAGAAGATTTCAAATGTTTGTGTCTAAGATCCTTTCGTAATGAAAAAAGCCAAATTGATTGTTAGAAAGTCAAATTTTGAGTAAAATGATTACTATACCCCTAGTTAGATTATAATGAGAAGTTATGAGTTTCACGAAATGTATGAACAATAATTGAACAGTTTCACGAATTATATACATTTTCTGCAAATTAGAGTATATGTGAATTTTTATGGTGAAATTTTGATAAATTTACATTTAATAAATTACATTGGTTGTAGCTTCCACTTCGCATTAATCGTGTTATAATGTATGTAATTTTCAGAATTATAACTTATACTTAGTATTTGTCATGTTATCGTATGTTAATTCTTGTTATAACATATGTAACTTTTTTAGAAATTAATTTTATTATTCTATTCGAAGAAGTACAACTTTTTATACGTTAATATTGTAGATAAATATTACGCTATTGTTTTTCATATATGAAGAATAATTTTAGTAGAATATTACTTTTTCCTGAACAGAATAATTTTATAAGACCTAACATTTATAAAAAAATATTAATCTTTTGGTCTTAAAGATCAAATCTTTATATAATGCAATTTTTTAAAAATAAATTATTGTTGCTTGTGAAGAAACACAACTTATATTAATATCCTGGAAATATTACTTGCTTCCATTTCATTACAAATTTTAATATTCTTCTGAAATGTTGATTAATTTATCAATATTATATGCTAGCTTTCGATTATAATTATATTGGATCCATAGTTAAAATTGTATGGTAATATGACGTTTTATTAAAATAGTAGTGAGTGAATTGATCCATGCTCATTGTGGTTGAACATAAAATAGTATACTGAAGAACCAAAAAAAAAAAAAAAAAAGAATTTTCATATGTTGCTTGATCTAAAATATAGATTGATTGCAAGACCTTCGCTAGAGAAATTGGATTACTTCATTTCTTAAATTAATAAGGGTGATATATATGTGTCATTCATCCTCTGCTTGGACGATCTTTTAGAAGATATATCGACTAGATGATCATAAATGAGAATATTATCCACTCGTAACTAGGAATTCTTGAGAAAAGTATGCTAGAATATTTTTCATCAGAACGAAGTTTCATATTTTTGTTTAATCATATGCTATTTATATTCATCATGACTCAAAAACTTTAAGCAACATTTTATTTTGAATCTTCTATGAAAATTGGTTATTTTCTAAAAGAAAGCAGGGAATATTTCTTGGTCCTTAAATTCCTTTTATACAAAATAATGACAACGGGCAAGATTTTATGTTCTATCAGCTGTCATTGTTTATGATATAGCTATCCATGCATAAGACAATGTAAAACTTCACTAATAGCAAATCAATTGTCAAATGCAATATTAATAGGGTTATATGTACCAACTAGAAATGCTTCAACCGTGATCAATGTTCCAATTGAACAATCTACTGTTATTAAAGTTAGTAAATCTAGCACATGCATAAAGCGTGTTAGACAAATGGAATCCAAAAACAAAAAGTCCTTAACAAACGAAAAAAAAGGAGAAAATAATTAAGATGATCCTATTGAAGAAACTGCTTGAAGAGACCATAAGACATAACTTTTCGAATAACCATGAAGAGGTTCACGTACCTAAAATTTGTGAAATAAAGAGATCTCGGTAAAGTTATGTACTAAAGGAAATAAATATTTGCTGACTTATTTTTATAGTGCTCTATATTATTGATGATAGTGATGACATAGAAGCAATGTTCATCATAGTATGCGATGTAGAAATTATTGGCTACAAAAAGAAGTCTTGTAAAAGAAATTGAATTTTATAAAACAAAGTATTTAGATTTGTAGTTCGAACATTTTAAATACATAATCTCTATAGCATGCAAATGATTTTTTTTAGAAAATCTCTGAAGGATTTTAAAGTGAAGAAAAATATTTCCATGTGATGAACGCCATAACACTTTTTTATTTGAATAATTTGCATGTCCTAGAATGATTCAACATGCACCTTATAGATGTAATAACTACCTATCTATATGATAGTGACATATATATGGAACTCCCTAATGGATTTAAAGTTCTAGAAGCAAATAATTCATTCTCTAGAAGTATGTGTTCAATAAAATTGCAAGTATTACCATATGGATTAAAACAATATTGATATGTGTAGTATAACCACATTAGGAAATGTTTGTTGAAAGTGGATTATAAAAATGACAATATTTGTACATAAATTTTTATAAAATTACAATTATGTAAGTTAATGTTGATGATATAAATCTAACAAGGATTCTCAATATCTAAAAAAAATGGCAAATTATTCGAAAAATGAATGTAGATGAAAGATTTGGGAAAAATCAAATCATGTCTAGGATTGCAAATTGAAAATTTCCCATAAAATTATATGTTCATCAATCTTCCTATATAGAAAAAGTATTAAATTTTTTTTATATGAATAAAGCATACCTATTGGCATCGTCTAGAGTCGTTTGATCACTTGATGTAAAAGGGGAAAAGAAAAACGTTTTGCCCACTTGAAAAGTTAAAAAATAATAAAATAATAAAAAATAAAAAAAGACCCCTCAATCTTAAAGTATCATAACTATCTGCAATTGGATGTCTATCTTGCAAATTGAACTTCTTCTTATGCAGCTTTTTCTACATATTTCCTTGCTAGATATTGCTCAGAACCAACTATAAGATATTGAAGTAGTATGGAACACATTTACGTTACCTAAGACGTACAATTGAGAATTAGAGGAACAATTACATCATAGAAATTTGTGAAGTAAATCTTTACAATGTCATCTTTAAATCATTATTAAATTATTGCAATACATAAAGCAAGTAAAAAATGTGCATTATTATCGAACATGGTACATTTTATTCAAGCATAATGAGAATTAATTTGAACAAAAGATAATCCAATAATATTGTAAGTGACATCCATTTCATAACCCAAATAAGGCTATATCAAAGATATTAATGTGGTCAACTGAACATGATAAAGAAAACTATAAAATCTATACACAGAAAACTAGTAACATTGATTTTAACAAATATACTCAAGTGATAATGTAGTTGATTTATTCATAAAAGCATCACTTACGTCTACAATAAAGAAATAGTTACACGGTAACAATGCGTCGATTCAAGGATTTAGAATGATCAACATCATGGAGAGTAGCTGCACTATTTTTTTCTTCAGTCAGATTTTGTCTCATTAGATATGCCTCGCAAAATTTTAATAAGGCATTATTTGTTTCTAATACTCCAAAAGTAATTGTACTATTTTCCCTTGTTTGTGTTGTAAATAGAATAATTTTTTATATGCATATAGCCTTAATTATTATAATAATTGTATCCATTATAATAATAATTCTTCCCTATAAATATGGAACTTTAATTCTTAATAAAACATACAAGTCTATTGGCATCTCTACATTTTTTTTTCTATTTTCTCTTTAATTTATAACACATTATCAGTATGAGTTTCTAAAAATTAAAGTGAATTAGTTAGAAGGTAATAATTTTTATAAGCATAATCATCTGTCACATGCACAAAAACTAATTTGGTTATATGTGATTTTTTTTTTTTATCGATGCTTCTAAGTAATGTTTCTGTATTAGTTTATGGAATTAAGCAAACACATCTATAGAGGATTTATGCACAGTCATTCTAGTGTTTATTTTACTATATATAATGATTATTTTATTAATGCATATACTAATCAATCATGATTATTTTATAGTACTATAAATCATGAATATTTTGTATGTATATCATATCTATATCCATATTCTATTTATATATCTTGTATGCATAAATTTTATGTAAATTTAATGATGACATTGTGTTATGCATTTATTTGGTTAATCAATGGTGAAACGAAATTATCTACAATATTATTCCAAGAATATTATATATTATTATTGAAATGAAATAATTTTCATCAATATTTCAAACGAATATTGTGTATTGTTTTTGAAAAGAAATAATCTTAATCAATATTTCAGAAGAATATTGTAATATTTTGAAAATCAATATTATATTTGCATTATTTGTTGCTCCATAAGTATCACGAACATTTCAATTAATATTCAAAAAAAAATATTTTTTTTCTCCCGAAGAGCATAATTAAATAGCTAGCGTAAGTTATAATTTTTACTTCACGAAAAGTAAATTCTTGTAAAACTTATTATAATAGTACTTGATAACTCCTAAAAAGCATGAAGTATAATTTCTAATATTTCAGAAGAACATTGACATATTTCTTTTGAATGAACAATAATAAAATACAACGTGCTTTCAAAGTAGCACATGTTTCGAAGAATGTGTTATTTTGAATTCATGTTTATACATGAAGGAGAACATATAAATAATGTTATGAGATCATTGATTAGTTGAATGATATATGATTAATAATGTTTAATCATATTCTTAGAAATTAAATAATTGAATTACATTTTATATTGGATCGGAAGTTTAATTTGATTTTATTGTTTGGCATGATCAGTTGGACCATCACTAGATCAATAATGATACGAAATTAAAATTTCAAGTGGACATTCAACGAAATATCGAAAA